TCCTTGAGTTGCTGATCTTTTGCTTTTGGCTTCAAACGTTCTGGATATGGAATTGGGGCCTCATAAACACGCTCAGGAACTTGTTTTGGAACAGTTTCTGGATCTGCCCGTTTATGTTTTTCTGCAGTTTTGGTAGGTTCTGCTGCCGCAAAATTTTCTATATTATCCTCCACTACCTGTTGCTCATTTTCAATGCTATTTTCACGATTGTCATAGCTTTTTCCACAACGTAAAGTCCGAACAACGTTGCAAACTTCACGTCCATTTGGATTAGGAATTGTTTGACTAGGAAATTTGCCTTTGTCTCTGTCTGAAATCTGTGCAGCTAGCTGGCCAAATTGTTGCTCCAAATTTTTAATTGATGCTTCAACATTTTGAAATCTTTGATTGTTGCCCTCGATGAATGATTGAGTTGTTGCTGCCAATTTAGCTAGTTGATCATCCAGAGATGGTTTGGAGGGAACAAAAGGTGTTTGTGCATGTTGGAATGGTTTTGCATTATTTTGATTGTCACCCCATTTGAAATTAGGATGATCCCTCCATCCGGGATTGTAATGATTGGCATATGCATCATTCCTAGGCCTTTGATAGCTGTTCATCATATTGACATGTTATTCAACAAGCTCTGGGTAGGAGTCTCTATGTGGGCAGCCCATTATGTCGTGTGTAACCATGTTGCAGATAGTGCAAACTGTTGTTGCAGGTGGCTGCTGTGTAGAACTTGCCATCTGTTGTAGAATAATATCAAACTTTGCATCAATTTTCTTCTCCATTTGTGCCATATGTGCAGACATGTTAGGAGATCTTGCTGATAACTCAAAAATTCCCCTTTTCTGTGAATGTTCTGCTGCCCATTGTTGAGATTCTGTAGCCATCATATCAAATAATTCAAATGCTTCTCTTGCAGATTTATTTGACAACGATCCTCCAGCTGATGCATTCACATGACTCTTAGATGTTGGATTAAGCCCATCAAAGAAAATATTCATCTGTGTATCTGAATCAATATTAACATGTGGACACTTTATGTACATCTCTGTATATCTTTCCCATGCTTCATGAAACTCTTCATTAGGCTTTTGTGTGAATGTCAAAATTTCTCTCTTGTAATTCAATGTCTTGGATGCTGGATAATATTTGTTCAGGAATTTTGTGTGTAACTGCTGCCAAGTAGTAATGCTATTAGCTGGTAGAGTAAATAACCAAGTTTCTGCCTTGTCTTTCAAAGTGAAAGGAAAAAGACGTAACTTGATAGCTTCAGCAGAAAAACCCCTAATCAAAATATTCTTGCAACCCACAATAAATTTTGCAATATGTATGTTCGCATCTTCATTGGGCAGCCCACGGAATGTTGGCAAAATCTCAAGCATGTGGTGCTTGATCTCGAACGAATCACCCTCTTCCTGGGTCGGATAGACTATGCAATTAGGAACATCAATGGCACGGGCTGCCAATGACTCTCTGAGTGGTCTACCTGTTGCAGGTAATTCTAACGCCATGTTACCCTCGTCTACAAACAAATTCTGCAGAAAAGTGCCCTGCAGTGAACAGTCCCATGCCCAATTAACTTCTCTTTGTTGTCTGTGCAGAGTGCGCTCTGGTTCTGGATCAAACTGTATAAGATGTGCAGTTCCTGATCTGGGCTGGACCATGCAGTTTGCAGAATCTGAAACAGAAGCAAAACTGTTCAAATTTTTTTTTTAATATTAATATTTTGACGAAAATTAAACAAATATATATAAATAAATAAAAAAAAAACAGAAAAAATGTAAACAAAATCAACTAAGAATATGATAAAAACAAATTAGTTAAAACAATCCCCGGCAACGGCGCCAATTTCTTGATAGGATTTTTAGTACCTGCGCAAACAGGGTTAAAATCACTGAAAATACTTGCAAGAATACAAGGTAATTGTAGTATAAATGCTCATGCAAGGTCGTTGTCCCCAAAGATTGTTTGACTAATCTGTAATTAAACTAACTCTTAATTAATAACTAAAATAGATTTTATCAAAGATTTGAAGTTTATGAATTTGAAAA